CCTCACCATTGACCCCCAATTAGGTGGGTAGATCAGGTGACTTGTTTCCTTAAAGAGAATTGGAGGTTTTTTTTCTCTTGAACAATAATTGCAATGCAGTTTTTTTATAGTGCATTTAAGGTGGTAGCTATTAAGAATGCCAATAATTTGGACAAAAGTCCAAAGAAAGTTATGGCTCCCTTACAATAATGGGCAAGGCCTGACATAGCATTTTGAAATGTCTAAATATAAAATGTTTTAGTATTTTCATCCCCCTTAAAGAATAACTCGTGAAGCTGTTTGGCAGATTGGAGAGATTTAGCAATTTCTTGATACTGGATTTTGAGTTTCGTTTCATTAATAGAAATAGAAGAAAGTTTTGTGTCCTTTTTTCTCTATCTTGATAATGTGGGAGGTTCTGAAGTAATGTAGATGATTTATTTTCATTTCAAAATGTGTTTGTTGTGGGAAGTGCGAGTCTCAGGTTATCCTGTACTTGAGGCAACAAGAATATACACCATGACCAGAGAAATAACACTTGCACATAGCTGTGATAATGATTTGAACACAATATGTCATGGTCTTGAAACCACACAGCAGTCATTTGAATTGATAATGATGGTAAATAATTAAAAAATTTAGATTTTTCAAGTCAATGTGTCATCTCAAAAGCAGAAAGGGACCAAGGAACCTTCGTTCTATCATCTGAACTGTTGTGAGTGCACATGGGCTTGGTTTGTCTGTCATTTACAAGCTAAATAGATACATAGAAAATTTACTAGAAACACAAGAAGGAAAACAGACCTAAAAAAAATCCTTTCCTCTTGAAAAGGTTACAGATTGCGACATGACAAACTGTGTTCACAATGCTATGAAGCCATTGTTTGGGTCCAAGTTGGCAACAGATTCAATGATTAAAATGAAAATAATTCACTCCCATCTTCCAGCAAACATCCTGAAATTGGATATCAACATGATAAACACCTTTATGTTTATCAGGCATGGCATATCTACCTAAAGTATCAGGTTACCTCAGATCAGCATTGGTGAATGAATAAACAACAAGGACCAAGACTGCCTGCCTGTGTAAATATACTGATTGTTATTTGGCATAACAGTGAAATTTTTTTTAGTAATATAATGAGTGTGACTTTTAACTACTGATACCTCTTTCTCATCTGAGAAACTGGTGAGAGATAGCTGACAGTCTTGGGGTTCTGGGAGGTTTGAGGAGATGGGCAGACTGGAGTATGAGGAGATGGGCAGACTGGAGTGCAAGGAGATGGGCAGACTGGAATACAAGGAGATGGGCAGACTGGAGTTCGAGGAGATGGGCAGACTGGAGTCGAGGAGATGGGCAGACTGGAGTGCGAGGAGATGGACAGACTGGAGTACGAGGAGATGGGCAGACTGGAGTGCAAGGAGATGGGCAGACTGGAGTACGAGGAGATGGGCAGATTGGAGTGCGAGGAGATGGGCAGACTGGAGTGCGAGGAGATGGACAGACTGGAGTGCGAGGAGATGGACAGACATGAGTACGAGGAGATGGGCAGACTGGAGTGTGAGGAGATGGGCAGACTGGAGTACAAGGAGATGGGCAGACTGGAGTGCGAGGAGATGGGCAGACTGGAGTGCAGCTTGGCACCTCACGAATAAGCCAAGGGCTTCATGTTGCAAATGTAAGCTGTACCTGTAAACAGGCACACAAGCCACCTCCCTGAAACAAAGGTGAGCAATAATTCAAATATAAAAATGCAGGTCCTAGGCTATGTGAAGGTACAAATAAGCAGTATCGAACATTTAGTTCACTTATATCAACCAACTCAGCCAATGATCCCCACATTTAGACCATTGAAAACTGGCTCTGGAAGATTTAAATATTTTTCAGTCCTCCTACCAGCCTGCTTGACAGAGCCCTGGCTCAATGTACCACCTGCCTCAGCATGGAAGCTGAATGATATCCCTCTTTCCCAGTTTTAGCATGAAACCTGCCTGCTGAGCAGCACACATCGACAGGGTGCTAATGAGATCTGGGTGCTCCAATGGTCCAGGTATTGTGCCATCACCAATGGATCCAACATGGAAACTGACCATTTCTTACAAGTAGTACAGAGCAGGCCTTGTATCAACTAGTGCTCAGAAGGATCCCACACATTTTATTGGCTGAGGTTTGCCAATTACAACCATCGAATGTGACCTTAAAATATCACACAGTGAGCCAGCTTTATTTTAAGTGTTTGTGAGATGCCTGGCAGAAAACATTTGTTTGGAGAAATGAGTCTCCTGGTTTATAAGCTGTGTAAGGGGCTTTTCATAACTCTTGACTAAACATAAGTTCTATACAGCATTTTTTTACCGGGGCTGCTGATCCCATGCTGTGCTGCTTTTAACATATGACTGGGTCCAGTGAGAGTATCCAAGAATGTGAGGTGGAGACTCCATGCTGCAGAAGGAAAGAGTTATAATGGTTCGCTGTTCACAAATGTTAGGCTGTAGAGCCTAACTCCTGGAACACAGCAGGCTATACTGGCAACATGCTGGCATTAAAGCAGGCAACTTGGTATGAACAATGAGCCGTAAAAGTTACACCCTGGCAAATGAAGGGTTTAAAGTCTACATCTTAAATGCAACCCTCACAATGGTTTGTCTGTTTGTCTGTATGTAAAAATGTGGGTCAGGCACTATGCTTCTATGAGACAGTTGCATTTTTACCATGAATAGTTAGCTAAGAGAGACCAGCTATGACGGAATTTTCCGGTTAGCGGGGTTTCCAGCCCCGCCACCCAAACAGTCAGTGGGAATGAACCCGTGCCAATCAAAGCAATCCTTACACAGTAATTTCCTGGTTTGAGGAGTATTAATTGGCTGAAGACTGGATTACCATCCTGTATTTGAGCAGAAGTTCCATTTCAAAGAGCTGCTGGTCACTTTGGATTGGTCAGCGGCTTTGTCATTCCAACAGCATCAGTGGCCAAGACTTGGACTACAAGCAATCCTTGGAATTTAAGGTTTGGAGTTTGGGAGCAGGTAAGTACTTGTGGTAGAGGGAGTGTTAATGATGGAGAACAGGGGCCCTTAACTAAATACCTACCCCCTTCCTGGCTGAGATGCATGCAGCATGATCTCCCAGGCATTACCACTCACTCCTGAACTCTTTACACACCAACTTTAAAATCGAGGGTAGGCGAGAAGCCGACCTTATTGGCAGCCAATTATTTAAACTCTTAAAGGCCTCAATTTGTGTGTGATTGAGCGAGATGCCTCCCATAGAATTCTACATAGGTCATGGGCAGGAGGAGCGATGGTTTGCTGGAGAATTTTACAGGACCCCAGCCTTGAAACCAGCCAATGGAGGACTGCTAAATTCACCCCCCAGTCTAGGCAAATGCCATGAAATAACAGTGAACCAAACGAGAAAACAAGAGAGATGTAGTTTGTTCTGGGTGGGCTGATACCTAAGGACACACATACAATTTCATTGGAGAAGTATCAGTTTGACGTACTTTGCTAGCCTAGATAGCCCTCAGTCAAACACACTAAATAATTGTTTACTTGATGATAAAGAAAAATGACCTGAATATCATTTTAAGAATGAACACTCCAGTTAGAAAAGAAAAGCGAAAGACTGTGGATGTTGGAAATCTGAAACAAGCACAAAAACTCAGCAGTCCTGGTGGCATTGGTGGAAAGAGGGGCATAATTAAGGTTTCCAGTCTGATATGAGTTGCAAAGAAGCATCATATTGGAGTTGAAGCACTAACTCTGTTTCTTTCTCCGTAGATGCCGCCAGATTGCCTGAGTTTCTCTAGTACTTTATGTTTTCATTTGTGTTAGAAACCTGTTCACAAAAGTACAAACTTTTTTCTTTCCCTCTGGTGTTGAGCTCCTGTAGGCTGTTTTCCCCAAAGCTCGGCAGTTTTGTAATCTACATTCTTCATTTTTGGTGCTTCAGTAAGAACATGCATTTTTAAGCACGTGTTGAATGTGCAATTACAAGCTTTATTCAGTAACTGAATTGCCACTGAAATCTACAAATCCAAATTGAATCAGGTTGCTGAGGGAGAGCCTGGGCAAAGCTTCCTTATTTATGATGTTGTTGGTGTTCCTGAAGAACAGGAGAGATCGAGAAGGGATGTGTGCTATTCTCCACAGGCGTTTCTTCCAGAATTCAGTGAAGAATTGCCTGGAATGGAATAAAAATGAAAGCCAATGGGCCAGTGAAGGAGTTAAAATCTAGAAGCACTTAGTGCATTAATGTATGTTTAGTTGATGAAAACATTCCCCTCTGCATTATTCAAATAACTAATGCTTCAGCGCCTACCAGAACAATAAGTGCGAGTAAGCCATTAACTACATTAATGTTATAATCTTAACGACTACTAGCAACAAGAACATACCATGGCAATCCAAGATTAAACTGTTTCTCATTATAGTCACCTGACCAAAAGGATTTTTTTTTAACAACAAAATAAAGTTATGATTAGCGTAAATATATTGTTTTGTTCCCTTGTTTCCCTAAACACTTTTACAATGTTTTTTGTTGAAATACAAGTGTTAATAATTTTAATTGGGGAGGGATGGAAAATAACTCAGCCCAATTTTAACCAGTTGAATTAGTATTAATAAGTGTGCAGCCATAAGCCTAGTGATGACTGATTATTGACCATGCAATATTGCCATGAACACATGCCATTTGAAATTTAAAAAGTGTAAAGGAGTGTTAATAAAACAAAATTCTCTTAGCATACTTCCAATGTATTTACATCTGAATATCAGAAAGGGCCTAGTCTCCTTTATCTGATTGTAGCCATTATTCAACAGAAATCACCAACTGGCCACAGCCGAGGCTATGATTATACTGTTGCAAACACAAATTGCAATTTTAGCAACAAATGTCTTACACACAGTGCAGATAAATGTACTTGCAAACAAACATTTACCACCTTTTCATGGTGCAAACTATTGTTGCTGCCTCTTTCCCAAAGTGGAGTTCTGATCTGAACTAAACAGACACAGCCTACCTTAGTGCAGCCTTCAGATTGTTATCCGATAGTTGCAACTAGTACTTTGACTTCATCAGAATGATAGCAGAGGATGGCACACGTAGGATCTGCCCCCTCACAATTCTTCCAGAATCTGGTTGGGTGTTGCTTACACATGCTCATTATTGATTGGGCTAGGTCATTCTGTTGCCGTTAGAATGGTCATTCCATTGGTCAAACAGACCAGGAGGATAGCTCACAACCTCACACAATGCTGATGGTGTTTTCATGTTGTATATGACACGTTAAACATTTCAAAATCCATTGGAGCAAGTTTAATCTCACAATTCATGGATATTTGTTCAAACTCAATGTTATTAGAACAATTAGCAACCAATGCCTCTGATTATTTTGTAAGGGATATGGAAAGTTGTAAACTGTTCCAACTTCTTGATATATATTTTTACAAAAAACTAAGATTATAGGTTATACCTTTAATATCACATTTCATGAAATCTGTATTTTTCCTTACAATGTGAGAGGATCATGACATTTCAGGCAAGCAATTACAGTCATAAAGGCATCTTGCTTAACCTCAGACTACAATATACCATATTGTGTATTTAAATTGATAGTTTAGGATGTAATGAAAGCTCAATTATTGTTTCTTTATTTATGTCTGGTGCTCCATTGCCAAAGGTTTGGAAATGATGTAAACCAGAAGTGTGTCTTCCTTTCCAGAAATTAAAACTTTCCTGGCAGTATCTACAGAATGTAGCATCTTGATGAACATGCCTCCAAGAACCATTATCAAAAGGAGATTAATTGATTATCCATCTAATTTCTGTTTGTTTGGATCCTGTTTAAAGTTTTCAAGAAGATTTGTAGCTCAGGTTGTGGATGAGGTTGCAGACTTGCTTGCCGAGCCAGTGTGTTTGATTGCAGACGTTTCGTCAACCTAGTCAGTGTGCCTCTGGTGAAGCGTTGGTGTTCTGTCCTGCTTGTTATTTATATGCCTTGGTTTGCTGGGGTGCTCGGTATTACTTGCGGTTTTGTTCTTCAGTGGTTTTAATATCAGGTCCAGTTAAGTGTGTTTGTTGACGGAGTTCCAGGTGGAATGCCAGGCCTCCAAGAATTCTCTGGGATGTCTCTGTTTGGCTTGTACTATTATGGATGTGTTGTCCCAGTCAAATTCATGTCCTTCTTCGTCCATGTGTAGTGAGACAAGTGAGAATTGGTCATGTCTCTTGGTGGGTAGTTGGTGTCCGTGTATCCTTACTGTCAGTTTTCTTCCAGTTTGGCCTATGTAAAGTTTCTCACAGTCCTCGCATGGTATTTTGTATATTGCGGTAGTTTTATTGGTTGTGAGTATGGGATCCTTTCCATTCGTCAGTAGCTGTCACAGGGTGGTTGTTGGTTTGTGAGCTACCCTGATACCTAGGGGGCCTGAGTAGTCTAGTGGTCATCTCTGATATGTCCCTAATGTACGGTAGGGTGACTAGTGTGCCTGACCATGTTGTGTCTTCTTGTTGTGGTCTGTCATGGAGGTAACGGTGGATTGTGCTTTTTGGGTGTCCATTCCTTTTAAAAACTCTGTATAAGTGCTCCCGTTCTGCTTTGTGCAATTCCAGTTGCTGCAGTGTGTTGTGGCGATGTTACCCAGCAGGGTGACAAAACGTCTGCAATCAAACACATTGGCTTGATGAGCAAGTCTGCAACTTTGGATCCTGTTACGTACAAACTGATGGTTGTATTTTTCTACATAACATACATTGTAATTAACTGAATACAAAGTGCTATGAGATGTCTCTGTCAAAGATATTTGTGAAGATATATAAATGTGCACATCAGAAAATCAGAGTCAGAGAGTCAAACAGCATGGAAACAGACCCTTCCGTCCAACCAGTCCATGCCAACCATAGTCTCAAACTAAACTAGTCCCACCTGTCTGTGCTTGGCCCATAACCCTCCAAATATTTCTTATTCATGTACTTATCTAAATGTCTTTTAAATGTTGTAACTGTACTTGCATCCACCACTTCCTCTGGAAATTCATTCTACACACGAACCACTCTCTGTGTAAAAATATTGTCTCTCATGTTTTTTTAAATCTTTATCCTCTCATCTTAAAAATATGCCCCCTAGTCTTGAAATTCTCCACCCTAGGGAAAAGACACCTGCTATTCACCTTATCTATATCCTTTATGATTTTATAAACCTCTATTAAGATCACCTCTCTACCTCCTACCCTTCAGTGAAAAAAGTCCCAGCCTATCCAGCCTCTCCTTATAACTCAAAGCCTCCATTCCTAGTAACATCCTGGTAAATCTCTTCTGAATCCACTCCAGCTGAATAATTTCCTTCCTATAACACACAGGTCAGAAAAGGACACAGTACTCCAGTTCAGGCCTCACCAACTTGCAGTACAACCTCAACATAACATCCCAACTCCTATACCCAAAGGTCTGAGTGATGAAGGCAAGCATGCTTAATGCCTTCTTAACCACCCTATCTATATGTGATGCAAACTTCAAAGAACTATATACCTGAACCCCTCGGTCTCTCTGTTCTACAACACTACCCAAGACCCTACTTTTAATTGTATAAGTTTTGCCTTTGTTTGAAAGAAAGCAATAGATCCCAATTATCCAAATTAAATTCCATCTGCCACTGTTCAGCCCATTGACCCAATTGATCAAGATCTCTTTGTAATCTTAGATAACCTTCTTCACTGTCCGCTGTACCACCAATCTTTGTCATCTGCAAACGTACTAACCATACCTTCTTTATTCTCATCGAAATCATTTATACAAATGGCAAACAAAAGTGGACCCAGCACTGATCCCAATGGAACACCACTGGTCATAGGCCTCCAGTCCAAAAAACAACCCTTCGCCATGTGTGTCTCTTGCCATGAAGCCAATTTTGTATCCAACTGGCAAGCTCACCCTGAATCCCATGGTATCTAACTTTACTAATTAGTCTACCATGCGGAACCTTGTCAAAAGCTTTACTAAAGTATTTACAGAGTCTTTACTTCAGAAATTGTAACAAGTAAAAGCCCTTTATTGAATTTCACCTGGAATTAATTTCTAAAGCAAGCAGGAAAATTCCAACATCCCAACTAATTCGGAAAGCCCCAAGTGTTTCCGAATATAAGCCATAAATTTCTGACAACAATGTCGACTTTGAAAACGATATCGCTTGAATTGAAAGAACAGCTAAGACTGAAAGATTTGCAATGTATAAAGGGTCCTGTTAGCTTGAATTCTAAGTAAGCAGCATATTTCACTGGTCAGAACATATGGAAAGGAAGTAAGAGTTCACTAATATTTTAAATGAGCAAATTCAAATCACACAGTACATTTTGAATGGAAGGCATGTTTGAATGAATTTTGATTAGGTTAACATAATTTGAGATAAATGACATCAAATTTACTTCCTCGTGTGGCTTTGTGTTGAACAGTTTGTTTATGGAATCCCTAAATACCATGGATAATGGATAATTTAATGCCCTCAGGGAAATTAGTAAATCAGATTTTTTGCTGAAACTTAAAATCCAAGCTGCCGTGGTGGAATTTGAACTCATGTCTCCATATCATTAGCCCAAGTTTCTGCATTACTAGCACAGAAACGTAAGCCTCTGCTCACTGCAGCTGACGTAAACAACATTCCATCTGTAAATAGGCTCCAGAACAATGGTAACTTCCTGGTCAAGGTGTCAAAGGCCATTGGTATCATCTGATAATCGCTGCATGTTCTAACATCTAACCTTTCAGTAAAAGATGGTGAGGTTTCATTGCAAGTGGCTATAGCACCTAAAACTCTTTAAATACCACTAAATCATTACGAGAATAAGTAATATTGCTTACATATCACCTCGCCCCCCCCATAGGATGCCCCACAGAACTGTGCAGCACTGATGATGTGTATTCACTATTGTAATGAAGGAGACACAGCAGCCAGTTTGTATGTAGCGAACTCTCATGGTCTGCATTGAGATACTGAGCAGATGATCTATCTTCATGAAGTTGGTTGTGTGATAAATATTGGCCTGAACACTGGGAATATCTTTGAACATCACATGGTGCTCTTCAGAGAGAGGTTTTCCTGTGGGTCATGACAGATAGTCTGGAAAAGCCCCTATTGAATTCAAAGCCACAACTATATGAATTTTGAGAAACTTTTCATTAAAACATCTCACAAGAGGCTTGTTAGAAAAATGCAGGCATCCAATATGAGGAGGATAAAGCAGCATGAATCTAAAGTAGATTGATGAATAGAAAACAAAGAGCTAGAGTAAAAGGTTGGTAGTTAGATTGGAGAGTGCTGTAATGTGGTGCTGGATTCGTGTTTACTCCGGACACAAAGACAGTTTGCATCTCAGTACAGAGAACTCAATCTTGAAATCTGCTAATGACCCTGAGGCATGAGGTTTGGCAGACAGTAAGGAGGACTGTAAAGAAAGGTGCTGCTAAATTAGAAAATGCACACACAGATGGCAAGTATAGTTTAAAATGGCTAAGCTCAGTAAGAGTATTGTTTCAGTACAAGATTCAAAGGATTTGATTGAGTGTCCAGGACTTTGAATGTCCCTAAAAAGTGTGTGAGCCTTGGTAAAGAGGGCCTTTGGCATGTGCCTGGAGAAACTCATATTGGGGAGAGACTTCAGAGAGATTCATAGAGTATTACAGCATGGAAAGAGGCCCTTCAGCCCATCAAGTCTATACTGGGCATCGAGCACCGATCCACTCTAATCCAGCAGTTGCTGCATAGATTTGTAGGCCACAGTGTTTCAAGTGTTCACTCAAATATTTCTTAAATGTCGTGATAGGTCCCACTTCTACCAATCTTTTCGGCACTGAGTTCTAGATACCACCTACTGAGTGAAAACATCTGTCCTTAAAATCCTTCTAAACCTTCTGTCCCTATTCTTAAATCTATGGCCCCTGACTGTTGACCCTTCTACTAAGGGGAAATGTTTATTCCTATCAATCCTATCTATGTCCTTCAGAATTCTGTTGATCTCAATCAGATCCCACTCAGCCTTCTCTGCTCTAAGGAAAACAGCCCTAGTCAATGTAGTCTCTC